CACTGGATGAACACTTACAGCACAGAGGCGATGCGCAAGAGCTGCAGCAGCCAAAGGAGGGCAACGGCATTGATTTTTAGGAAGGGCGAGGAAAGGTTCACAACTGCAAACCCTCAACTGTCTGCCATTAAAAACAAGAGTTGAGAGCCTCATCCTGCAGGATGTCAAACAAGCACCAGCCAGAGCCGGGAGCAAAAAGCTGGTGGATAAGAGAGGGATCCCTGCATCCACGCTGCTGGTACAGGAGTTGGAATACAGAAGGAAGAGGCACATCCTGTGGGATGAGTCAAAGCATCCTTAAAGGTTGATATTTTCACTTAAAACTGCTGATAAAAAGGTCATATCCTGATCATAGCTTGGGAATAACCCCATCTCCAGTTTGGAGGAAGCAGATAAAGGCTGCCCTAGCGAATGGGACAGCGCATGGCCAAAGAGCACAATAGGAACTGGTATCATCCCAACGTAGGCAACAAGACCTGGTTATATTGACAACCCCCTCTACCAAATAAGCCCCAGAAAGCCAATTCAGGAGAGACATTCGCCTGTAGACAACAGATCTCCAACACACCCTCACTGCAATGACAGAAGAGGAGTCCAATATGTAATCTCCAAATCAAACCCTCTGGCTCAGATGCCAAAAGAAAGTGGTTGGGAAATTACATCCATGGAAATTCCACCCACATCTTAATTACAGGCTGGCCTCCCCCTGCTTCTTGCATCCACAAAGGTGGGTTGTAGCTCAGGAGCTCTCCAGTATGAGGGCAGAGCCCAGCAACAACCCCAATGGGACTCCTACATATAAACAGGGCAATTTAAAGTTCAGGCTTCAAAAGGAATTCTGATTATGGGAAATCATTGGAAAGTGTATGAAAATACATGTTTGAAGAAAGAAATATAAAAAACAGGATACAAGAAACCCAGAGAGAGGCCTTGGACAAGGGCCTGTAGGGACAGACCAAGGGGAATGGCTTGAACCTGCCAGAGGGGAGACTGAGATGAGCTCTTAGGCAAAAGCTCTTCCCTGTGAGGGTGCTGAGGCGCTGGCACAGGGTGCCCAGAGAAGCTGTGGCTGCCCCATCCCTGGCAGTGCTCAAGGCCAGGTTGGACACAGGGGCTTGGAGCACCCTGCTCCAGTGGAAGGGGTCCCTGCCCATGGCAGGGGTTGGAACTGGATGAGCTTTAAGCTTCCTTCCAACATAAACCATTCAGTGATGCCATGAAATCACAAAGTTAACTTCAGGTTGTATTTAAACAGGGTGTATCTCTAAGCAACAGTGACACCAGTGGCCTGAGGACCAGTGACATCAGCAGCCTGATGATCTTTGTTGGATCAGCTTTCCAGAGAATGCTATGGTTTGGAAGGGACCTTAAAGCTCCTCCAGTTCCAGTCCCCTCCCCGGGCAGGAACACCTTCCACTAGAGCAGGTTGCTCCAAGCCCCATCCAACCTGGCCAAGCTTGAATATCCTTCCCTGGATAGGCAGAGCAGCAACTGCTGTCTTTTATCTCTCTTGTGCCAGATCCCTGATTCAGACCCAAACTGTTTTGCCTACACCAGACAACACAATCTCATCTGCACCCTCTATGGATAAATACACGTGTGAGGCCTGAAATCTGCAGGTGCTGGATGAAGCAGATCCTGTGCAGAAGTCAGTTCAACGAAGGGAAGATCAGTGGCTTCATCAGGTTCATGTCCACGATCAAAGCACAGACACATTACCTGAGTGGAGTCACAACTCCTCCCAGCAAAGTAATTACCTCCAAGTTCTGCTTCCCTTCAAAAAGAGCCTAAAAAGTTAAATGGGAAGAAAGAAGTAGAAGAAGAAAAGAAGATTTCCTTAATATTAATGGCACATTAATATTAAGTACGATGTGGTCAAGAAGCCCAACATCTAAAGGCTGTTTCCTCAACATTCATTTGGCTTCAGTGAGCAACAGAACATGTTCTATTCCTCTGTTTTGGTCAGGCACTTGAGCTCCTCCTGTGCACATGTTCCATCCCAGCTTAAAATACCTGGGTGAGTAGAGCATGACTGCATTAGAAATGCTTCACTGCTCTCTGATCCCATCAGAACAACTTCCATTTAGGACATTCCCCAATTGCTGAGTGCTTACTAAATGTTCACCTTGATCAAAGGAGTATTTTGGGGTTAAGCTGATAATAGCTGCAGGTGTTAACACTCCTCATGGGAGCAGCACAAATGATCCCAAGAGAACTGCTATCACTTTGCCACTTCCCATTATCCCTCTAAGGATCACTGATCCTTAACTGAAACCACAGTGAATGCCACAGAGGGAAATGCCTCTCTGAATACAAAGCATCAGGAAACACCACTTTGAAACCGAGTCTCAGCAGTGCCTGGAAGAGCTGAGATCAAAGAGGTCCAGGTGGGTTCAAAAAGGGAATCAAGAGGCAAGAGATGGACAAGCCTTTGTGTTAACACACTTGGGAAAGGCAGGAATTCAGTATGTGCTTGGGCCACGTATCCCAAGAGCCTGTTTAACAGGACAAACAGGAAAACAGCAAAGCTGGAAAGGAAGCAGCTGACCCAGCTTCTTGCAGCAACACTCAGTGCATGAAGCATTGCACGCTCCTCCCCAGGCTTCCTCCCATCCTCAGCCCTGACACACGTGCTGTTTGCATCCCAGAGTGGGATCTTGGGAATGCAGCACTGCTGGATGCTCACTCACCACACTGCCATGAGGGCCCAGTGGATCCAGGCTCCAGCATGATCACATCCCTCCATGGAATCACAAGCCTGGCTCCAGTGCCTAAAGGGGCTACAAGAAACCTGGAGAGGGGCAGCATTTTCAATTCACCATCTAAGGCATCAGTGTCCATTCTCCCACTGGCACAGAGAAGCACAGGGAAAAGAAGGATTTGCAGCACTTAGGAAGTGAGGAGGAGCAGTCTCACACATGCACACGCACATATAGGCACTTCCTTTTGCTTTTAGTGCTTATAAGAACCAAACCAAGACACATTTTTACAGCAGCTACAGCAGTTTGCAAAGAAAAAGAGTCACTTCCAAACCTACATCCCACTTTTTCCATAAACGTCCTTATTTGTCACCTTTACTTTGAGCAAAACCAGGAGCACAACTTGATTTCTGCTCTGTCTGCATATTTTCAGCCCTATGCTGCTTAAAAGCAAACATCTTTTCAGGATGGGAACATTACCTTCAATCATGGAATAAGGATTTGGAACACATTCCCAAAAAAACACAGGCTTTTGGCAGCTGCAATGGGATGCTCCTGGGGAGCAGAAGATTTGGATCCATTCTGTACATTCTTAACCTATGTGCAGCTTCCCTTGGTTGGGCACAGTCTGACTGACAGCTTCCACAAAGCAGAGATGTTTGCCCAGAGAAGTGAGCTCCTATTGGTGCTGGAGCCTTCCCAAGGGAGCAGCTTTGGTGCTGTGACCTCCTCAGTGGCACACACAGCTGAGCAAACTCCACGGAGCAGCACAAATCCAGGTGTAAACATGGAGCTACATGGAGCACAAGGATCAGGTTTAACCTCAGGTGTGTTCCTGGATCATCCAGACAGCTCCTATCTCTGTAAGCAGCAGGAAAACTCCATTTCCTCATACACAAAATGCTGTTGCAAACCCAAATTGCTCTGTCTACAGCAGAACTGCTCATATCAGACTCTCAGCAAGCACCAAGCCCTTTATAAAGGAGCTTTACAGCGTAAAGATTCATTCAATGGTGTGTAGTGATCATGCCATACTAGAGAAAGGTTCCCCCAAGTACTTTGTGAGGCTTGAGTCCTCAATTCATCCACAATAAGCAGTGGGCAGGTCTTGGGATGCTGAAGAGCTGCATTCCCCACCCCACCCATCACCATCCTAAGGAGGAAAAGCCTTGTTGCCCCCACATCACTGTCACAGCTGGATCTGGCCACATGTTGTGTCCAGCACATCTGGTCTGAGACATCACAGATGAGCAACGACAGTGCAAATGTGCCCAAGACTCCCAACCATAAGTGCTGCCTTCACACACTGCATGACAGCTTCCAACAGAGTGTCTGGAGGTGCCTCTCCAGGCACCAAAGGGTTTGAAGACATCCTTAAACAGAGGAAGATTCACCCCCAAAGCCAAAGAACTCCTTGAATGCTGGACCATCAACTCAGCTGCACAAGTGTACGTCTTAATTCTCCTTTCCCTGCCTGCCTCCTAAATCCAGATCCAAAATTCTCCTCCCAGCATCTCCCCACCCCTCCAAACCCTCTAAATACACACACGAAAAGGAAACTCTCTTCCTTCTCCTCCTACAGAAAGCTTTTCCCTTTCCTGATTCTTCTTCCCCATTCTTCTTTCCATCCATCTAAACACAGCAACATCACAACACAGCTCTTTGTCTGAACACAAACTGTCTGTGACAATGTCCCCACTGAACAGCAGAACCAGGAACATTGCAGAAACGTGGCACACACACATAGGTGCAGCTCCTTGAGCCCCTGATTTCAGCTCTGACCATTGCCAAGTACAGACAGCAGGATACAGCCACAAACTAAAACCCAGTGGATCTGATTTTCCTCTAATTGCTATTTTAGGCAAATCACTACATGCCTGCAGCCATGGCACTGAGAAATGGGTGCATTAGGTAAGTTCATAGCTTCTAGAAGAGCACCTCATGGCATGGACAAGCTTTTGCCCCATGCAATAGATACTAATCTTACAGATGTATTACTGCCCCTGCCATTTTCTTCCTTCCTGTCTGATGTCTTCAAATCCAGCAAAACCACACTGAAACCAAGAAGCAGCTTTCAAATGGCTTTATTTGGAGATGTCAAAGCACAACACATCTCCTGGGTAAGACAGAAGCCTTACACCAGCCAAACATCACCTCAGTGTTTGCTCCAGGACCACCAACAGCAGATATACACCTCCTGGAGGACTCCAGAACTCATTTCCAAACCCAAAAGCTTCCCTTGGAATTGCTTCACCAGCACACACAGCAAACACCATAATCCCTTGGGATGGCTGGTCCTACCTTCCTTGGTGGAGGCCTGCATCCTGGTGGCTGGCAGCCTGCAGAGCCTGTGCTTGGTGACGTGCACCAGGCCCCTGGGTGAGGAACGCTTTGATGTCACAGAAGGTTTGCCCTTCAAGGAGTTCTTCTTCCTGAGGTGGAAGTGGCTCCTCAGAGGCGTGGCGGGTGAGAAGCTGCTCTTCTTATCTGTTGGGAAGCTGCGAAGGGAACACCACAGAGTCAGAAGAGGGTAAAGAGGTGACCAAAACCCATCCCCATTCTTGCAAAGCAGAGATGAAGAATAGGGGATCTGGCAGCACAACTCTACCAATCCCTTCTGCTTTCTGCTCAAGAGATGTAGGAGAGAGGATAGAACCATTGAATGGTTTCGACTGGAAAAGCCCTTTAAGCTCATCCAGTCCAACCATTCCCCAGCACTGCCAAGGCCACCACTAACCCATGGCACTGAGGCCTCGTCTCCACCGGGTGTGAACACTTGCAGGGACGGTGACTGCAGCCCTGCCCTGGGCAGCCTGTTCCAATGCCTGAGCACCCTCTGGGGCAGGAATTGGTCCTCAGCTCCATCTAAACCTGCCCTGGTGCAGCTTGAGGCCGGTTCCTCTTGTCCCATCCCTTGTTCCTTGGGAGCAGAGCCCAGCCCCTCCTGGCTCCATCCTCCTCTCAGGCACTTGTAGGGAGCCATCAGGTCCCCCCTGAGCCTTCTATTCTCCAGCCTGAACCCCCCAGGTCTCTCAGCCCTTCCCCATCACACTTGTGCTCAAGACCCTGCACCAGCTCCAGCCCTTCTCTGGCCCCACTCCAGCACCTCAATGTCTCTCTTGTAGTGAGGGGCCCAGCACTGAACACAGGATTCAACGTGCGGCCTCAACAGTGCCATGGTCCTGCTGGACTTGAGCAAGATGAGGAGATGTCTCACCTCAACTGCCAAAACATCCCAAACAATCCCAGCCTGTACAGACACCTTGCTCCAGAGTGACCCTCCCAGCACATTCCACTCATAGACACATCCCCAAGCAAACCAGGAGGGCAAGAGAAGGGTGGAAGCTTATGGTGAAGCAACAAGCAGAGGACCTAGGAAACAGCAGAACTGAGGCACCAGATCCTCAATTGGTGCCATGTCACCAGCTCACTGTTTTAAACAGAATCATTACTAAGGCCACAGTCCAGTTTTCAAGAGCTCAGGACTGGTTTTACAGCAGCAAGAAAGGAGCCAAACCACGTGTCCACAAGTATGAGGGTATCTGTGAGTTCAGTTGGAGAGTAAAGGTCACACAGTTGCCACCAACCCTCACCCCATCCCATTTATTATAGAACGGTTTGGGTTGGAAAGGACAGTAAGATCATCCAGCTCCAACCCCTGCCACAGGCAGGGACCCCTTCCACTAGAGCAGGGTGCTCCAAGGCCCTGTGTCCAACCTGGCCTTGAGCACTGCCAGCGATGGGGCAGCCACAGCTTCTCTGGGCACCCTGTGCCAGCGCCTCAGCACCCTCACAGGGAAGAGCTTCTTCCTTATCTCCAACCTGAGCTTCCCCTGTTTCAGTCTGAACCCATCACCTCTTGTCCTATCACTGCAGTCCCTATGAAGAGTCCCTCTGCAGCATCCTTGTAGCCCCCTTCAGACACTGGAAGCTGCTCTGAGGTCTCCACGCAGCTTCTCTTCTCCAAGCTGAACAGCCCCAGTGTTATCAGTCTGGCTCCATACAGGAGGTGCTGCAGCCCCTGATCGTCCTCGTGGCCTCCACGGGACTTGCTCCAACAGCTCCATGTCCTTCTTATATTGGGGACACCAGAATGCACCCAGTGCTGCAAGTGGGGCCTCATGAGAGCAGAGTAGTGGGGCAGCATCCTCTCCTTTTGCCTCTCCTGCAGCACAGGCTGGGATTGCTTCCAGCCCTGCTGAGAAAAGTAGCACAAACTCAGCTACCTCACCAGGAGCACAGTGAAAGGAAGCCCTCACAGCACTTGCACAACACACTGGCTTTCAGAGACAGTTCGGTCTCAATCCCTTTATCTGCTTCCCTTTGACTCCCAGCCCAGCGCAAACCCTTTTTGCAGATATCTCAGCCTGCACACCTTTTCCTTCCTTCAAGCTTCATTTATAACCCCCCCATTGTACTCTGTTCCTATCAGACACAGCCAGGGGGGAGAATTTGCTCCATAAGACCCTAGGAGTTATCTGCTGCTCTGGTACAGGACACTCTCCTGAGGTGGCTACAACAGCCACAGATGTCACTGACTTGACAAGGATAAGGAAGAGCAAGAGCCTGCAGGGAGGATGCTTTGGGTTACAGGTGGCCAGCACAAAGGGATGGCAGCTAAAGGGAGGAGAGTACCCGCAGAGCATCATGGACAGAGCTCATCTCCTATCCACACTTCATCCCAAGGTCTGTGCAATGGTTTACAGGGACAGACAATACATGGTAAAGTGTTAGTGTGATGGATTATGGGTTGGGGCAATCCCCAGCACAAACACTGCCTGGATGGAGCATCCCTGTGGAGAAGGACCTGGGGTGTAGGTCAATGGGAAGCTCCCCATGTCCCAGCTTCAGTGAGGCTTGAGCCCAGAACGCCCCCATGTGCTGGGCTGCACCCCCAGAGCGTGAGCAGCAGCTCAGGGAGGGGATCCTGCCCCTCTGCTGTGTGAAGGGAAGACCTTAGAGCAGCTCCAGTGCCTAAAGGGGCTGCAGGAAACCTGGAGAGGGGCTTGGGACAAGGGCCTGTAGGGACAGACCAAGGGGAATGGCTTGAACCTGCCCAAGGGGAGACTGAGATGAGCTCTTAGGCAGAAGCTCTTCCCTGTGAGGGTGCTGAGGCGCTGGCACAGGGTGCCCAGAGAAGCTGTGGCTGCCCCATCCCTGGCAGTGCTCAAGGCCAGGTTGGACACAGGGGCTTGGAGAAAGCTGCTCCAGTGAAAGGGGTCTCTGCCCATGGGAGGGGTTGGAACTAGAGGAGCTTTAAGGTCCCTTCATCCCAAACCATTCTAATTCTGGGATTCAAGCCACTTCTCCTCTTTTCCCCAGGCCCCAACACAAGTGGTTATCAAACAGCCATTTCCTTCCCTTTGAACATGAGTATGTTATTCAGGTCATAGAGAAGCCTCCCAAGTGCTGCAGCGAAGAACAGGAGTGGGAGACGAGAAGAAATCCCAGCTCTTGTTTCAAAGCTTGAAGCAGAAACTGCAAAAGCAATTAAAACCTGAGAGCTTCCAAGCTTGGAAAATAGGATGGCTCCAGACACAATAAAGCACTTGGAAAGAGGAAGGAAACATTCCCTCTAGTAGACAGAAATCCTCATTGGAATTTCACCTGTAGCCATTTACATGAAGCCAGAGGACACAAAATACAACCATCACCACCAACAAGCACCAACTTACCCCAAGCTGCCTTTTCTCTTGATGATTTTGGTCCGACTCTTTACTTTGTAACTGGACAACGTGGTGTCACCAAAGGAGGACTTCACCCCACCAAGTCCAACAGATGCAGCACTCAGAGGTGGGGGGACAGCACTGGCTAGAGGCAGGTTGGGGGCTGGAGGCTTCTGCTGATCCTCTGATCGCCACCTGAATGCTGATTTGGAGGTGGAGGGTGAGGTCTGCAAGCTGGTGGCTTTCCACTTGTATTTGCTGGGAGAGACCCCCAGCTTGGCCTGAAGTCCTGATTTCTTCACCTTTGCTCCCAAGTCTGCTTTGGGTGACACTTTAGCACCTCTGTCTGCTCCACCAGTGACCCTCTTAGCACCTTCTGAAGCTCTAGGGCTCACCCACCTCTTCACAGCACGAGAGCATTTACCAGGGTTTGCAACCCACGTGTAATTGGCTTTCCTGAACTTTGGAGCTTTGCTGGAGATGGGGGTTGAGGCAGCTCTTAGGTGACCAACAGCTTTGGGGACTGTGGAAAACCTGCCCTTCACTGGAGTCATCCCAACCACTGAAGTCACAGCAGGTCTGGAGCAAGGCTCACTGCTTCCCAGGAGCTTTGTCTTTCTGGTAGCATCCCTGTCTTGCTCACAACCGGACTGCCCTGGAGCTGGTGGTTCTGTCTTCTTCCACACCAAGCACTGAGCTGGGTCACGGTCTGGCAACACTGGAAGCTGCTGAGGTTCTGATTTCAGAGTCACAGCGCTTTCACTGGTGTTTCCAGAGGAAACTGGGGAGCTCCCCACCATGTCACCAGCTGTAAGCACTGTTCTGGGCTCATCTGCCTCACTCACATAGGCTGAACTCACAAACCTGTGAGATGAAGTGAAGGAAACAGAGAGAGAAGGCCTCCTCCCTTCAGTTTGGCTCACAGATGGAGATTCTGGCACCCATTTCCTGTCACCTGAAGCTGTGACCATCGTTTCCAGCTTGCAGCAAGAACCAACATCAGGGAAAGATTTGGACTCTCCAAACTGCGCAGCCCTGTGGGGCAGCTGGATCCCCACAACTATGTTACCATCAGTGGTTAGGTCCACATGTCTCTCTGGAGATGATTCTGGTGGCTCAGAGGCCTGGTTGCCCCCATAGCCTCCAAAAGCCTGAGATGTGCTGGCACTTCCACGACTCCCAACATCACACGTTGCTCCTGGTGGCCGGTTCACAAGGGAATACTTTTTCCTCCAGGAATGACCTTGGTGCTGCTGGAAATCCCTTGCTGGAGCTTGCTGGGGGTACCTGGCCAAAAATGCCCCCCTCCTGCTGAAGGGAGGCTGCCGGGAGGGGTTCCACCTCGGTGGTTGGGATGGCAGCGGCGCATCCCCATGTGTGTTCTTGTGGTCATTGATGAGACCTAAAGAGAAGAAGACAATGCCTGTTCATTCCCAATCCTATGGGAGTTTGACAGCACCAATTCCAACACACTGGGGATCTGTTCATCCCCAATCCCATAGGAGTCTGACAGCATCAATCCCCAAACACTGGGAATCTATTCATCCCCAAACCCATGGGAGTCTAACAGCATCACAGCCCTGTTTTTCCTCATGCTGCAATGAGGATCACTCCACACAAACCTCATTTCAGATAACTGTTGGAAGGAAAAACTCCCTTCATCCTCATGGAAGTCAGTAACGAAAGTGATCTCACAGGGGTTTGGCCCAAGCTCAATGCAGGTCTGGACTCCAGACACACCAACAGACCCGTCACACACCTCACTTGTGCTCTCAGCCGCATTTTGCCCCTTTCTGCTCTTTTCCAGGTGCCAGATGGATGTTTGAATTATTGGGTTTGGAGCCTGATCTACAAAAATGATGATTTTGGTTCCAGAAGTATCTTCAGAGCAGGATTTGAGGGCGAGGCATGTGGCCCAGAACAGGCACCACCAGCAACAACCACAAAGCACAGAACCATAGAATCAACCAGGGTGGAAAGGCCCTTTAAGCTCACCCAGTCCAACCATTCGCCAGCACTGCCAAGGCCACCACTAACCCATGGCACTGAGGCCTCGTCTCCACACTGTGTGAACACTTGCAGGGACGGTGCCTGCAGCCCTGCCCTGGGCAGCCTGTTCCAATGCCTGAGCACCCTCTGGGGCAGGAATTGTTCCTCAGCTCCATCTAAACCTGCCCTGGTGCAGCTTGAGGCCGGTTCCTCTTGTCCCATCCCTTGTTCCTTGGGAGCAGAGCCCAGCCCCTCCTGGCTCCATCCTCCTCTCAGGCACTTGTAGGGAGCCATCAGGTCCCCCCTGAGCCTTCTCCAGACTGAACCCCCCAGGTCCCTCAGTAATTCCCCATCACACTTGTGCCCCAGGCCCTGCACCAGCTTCTTATATCCTCTTCAAAGCTACAACAAGGAGGCTTTGAGGTGGCCTTGGCTTCACTGTTGAGTCACTGCACACCCTCTGCCAAGCCACCACCCAGCGCTTTGGGCTCCTAAGGACGCCTTCTGGATAATAGATATGTGTCAGTTAGGGAGGGACTGCACTTGTTGAGCCTTGGTGTTGAGAAAACCCTTCCAATAAAAGGGAATGTCAAAGGGGGGTTGAGCCTTGTGTTTTAGGCACGTGTCAGCGTAGAAAAGCTATTCCTACACAAGGTGGCACAGAGCTGCCAGTGGAACAGCAGCGTCAGCAGATCCCTCCTGGAAGAGCCTTAAGGACCCTGTTTTCCTTCCTCTCCTCCCACCACAGAGGAGCTCCAGGCCAGGGGCAGATCCCCTGCAAGGCCTGAGTGGAATCTGTGGCCTTACTAATGAGGAAAAATTACCTTGAAGTCTATAAATAGAATGAGTTCATGCTAAGAATAAGAGCTGATGCTCAGCAGAGCTGGGAAAGGGCACATAAATATATATCTACATCTAAATCCCCCCCATGTTCCTCTGCCATGCCCAGGAGCCTCAGCCTGGAGAGGAGAAGCTGCGTGGAGACCTCAGAGCAGCTCCAGTGTCTGAAGGGGGCTACAAGGATGCTGGAGAGGGACTCTTCATCAGGGACTGGAGTGATAGGACAAGGGGTGATGGGTTCAAACTGAAACAGGGGAGATTTAGGTTGGATGTAAGGAAGTCCTTCCCTGTGAGGGTGCTGAGGCGCTGGCACAAGGTGCCCAGATAAGCTGTGGCTGCCCCATCCCTGGCAGTGCTCAAGGCCAGGTTGGACACAGGGGCTTGGAGCACCCTGCTCTAGTGGAAGGGGTCCCGGCCCGTAGCAGGGGTTGGAGCTGGACAAGCTTTAAGGTCCCTTCAATTCAAACCCTTCTATGATTCTATGACAAAAGGCAACACCCACCTCTGTGCCACCAGCCCCAAGGGTTGTGGGGCAGGGGACACCCCCAAACAGAAGGGTCACAGGCCTCGCAGGGGCCAGGAGCATGAGCACACACTCGCGGAGGGGACTCCTAAACCCCACAGCACTGTCTGGTCTCTGTTCCCTCCCTGCCTTGGGCCACTTGTGACTACTGCCAGCTCCCCACCACCTCTCCCATCCCTTGGGCCCTTCCCAGCGCTCATTCCTTCCTCTCCCCAGCACTCCCAGGATCCTCTCCTGTCCCCCCCTCAAAACCCACTCCCCAACCTCGAGGTCCTCTTCACAGCTCGCACCCCCCCCTCAGGATTCCCAGATTCCCAATCTCTTCCCCAACCCCCTCCTACCCCCAGGTCCCTCCCACAACCCTTCCTTCCCCCCCACCATCAACTCCTCAGTCCCCTTCGCAGCCCATCCCCCCCCACTGACACCTCAATTCCCCCCATCGACGCCCCGGTCCCCCCACGACCCATCCTAACCCCAGGTCCTTTCCACAACCCGTCCCTCCACTCTATCTACACCTCACCCCCCCCACAACCCGTCCATGCCCCATATCGACACCTCAGTCCCCCCCACAACCTGTTATACTCCCCCGGACCCCCCGACAACCCTTCCTTCCACCGGCTCCCCGGTCCCCTTCACAACCCGCTCCCCTCCATCGACACCTCAGTCGTGTCCCCCCCCACAGCCGGCCCATGCCCTCAGGCCCCCCCCATCCCATCCCTCCACCACATCCACACGTCAGTCCTTCGCCCCCTTCCCCAACTCGTTCTTTCCCTCCATGGACCCCTCAATCGTCCCCCCCAACCTGTCCCCAGCATCGACGCCCCGGGCCCCCCGCCGCCATTGCGGCCCGTACCCTGCAGCAGCCGGATCTTCCTCCACAGCCGCTCCCTCTCCTCCATCCCCGCAGCTCCCCGCACCCCCCCGCATCCGCTACGTCATCACCCAGCGCCGGCCGTTGGGAGACGTCACGTGCGGCCCGCCGTTGCTTGGCAACGCAACAGACCGAGGCCTACACGTCCTGCCGGAGCCTGACCCTGAGTCGGGCCCTAGCCCCGTCCGACGGCATCGGCCCCGGCCCCGGCCTCTGTGCCCAACGTCTGTCCCCTGCCCAGTCTGGCCCAGCTGCCCCCATTTGTACAGTGTTCAAAGTTGGGCCCTTCATTGTTGCACATTAGCTTAAGTTTTACTGAATCGTTCTGTATATGTTTGTGAAGCAGCTCTAGGAACATCTTGATTTAAGGAGTTCACCTTTATCTTAGCATTATAGAATCATGGAACGGTTTCGGTTGGAAGGGACCTTAAAGCTCCTCCAGCTCCAACCCCTGCCACGGGCAGGGACCCCTTCCACTAGACCAGCTTGCTCCAAGCCCCTGTGTCCAAGCTGGCCTTGAGCACTGCCAGGGATGGGGCAGTCACAGCTTCTCTGGGCACCCTGTGCCAGCGCCTCAGCACCCTCACAGTACACAGCTTCTGCCTTATCTCCAACCTGAACTTCCCTGTTTCAGCCTGAACCCATCAGCCCTTGTCCTGTCACTGCAGTCCCTGATGAAGAGCCCCTCTCCAGCATCCTTGTAGCCCCCTTCAGACCCTGGAAGCTGCTCTGAGGTCTCCACGCAGCTTCTCTTCTCCAGGCTGAACAGCCCCAATGTTCTCAGCCTGGCTCCATACAGGAGCTGCTCCAGCCCCTGATCATTCTCGTGGCCTCCTCTGGACTTGCTCCAACAGCTCCAGGTCCCTCTTGTGCTGCTGCCCCAGAGCTGGATCAGGACTGCAGGGGGGCTCCCCAGACCATAGCAGAGGGGCAGGATCCCCTCCCTGAGCTGCTGCTCACGCTCTGCGGGTGCAGCCCAGCACACGGGGGGGTTCTGGGCTGTGAGTGCGCAATGAAGCTGGTTCATGTTCATTTTCTCATTGACCAGCACCCCCAAGTCCTTCTACGCGGGCCTGCTCTGGATCTCTTCTCTGCCCAACCTGTAGCTGTGTCCTTACTCTCTAGACCATAACCAGAGCACCCAGGGTCTATTGTATAGGATAGGGCAGCCACAGCTTCTCTGGGCACCCTGTACCAGCGCCTCAGCACCCTCACAGGGTACAACAACTTCCTTATCTCCAACCTGAACATCCCCTGTTTCAGTCTGAACCCATCACCCCTTGTCCTATCACTGCAGTCCCTGATGAAGAGTCCCTCTCCAGCATCCTTGTAGCCCCCTTCAGACACTGGAAGCTGCTCTGAGGTCTCCACGCAGCTTCTCTTCTCCAGGCTGAACAGCCCCAGTGTCCTCAGCCTGGCTCCATATGGGAAGTGCTCCAGCCCCTGATCAAATCAGGAGTATCCACAAAGTGTCTCATCCCATTGAGAGCACAACCAGAGAACATCGTTTATACGGATGTTACCCTGAAGGAGTTTGTTTTCTGACTGATTTTGCTCTTCCCTAAGGGAATAAACCCCATAACTTTAAACAAAGCCATAACAGAACCTCAAGTCTTCAAAGGAGATAAAAACCCAGCCTAAAATTACCTTTTAAACTATTTCCGGGGAAAAAAGCTGAGGCAAGGAGCTGCACCAGCACAAAGCTGCTTCCTTTAAACACTCCCATGATGGGAACATTATAAAAGCAACTGATCATCAACCTGAAATCATTTAAACCAGAAGCTTTCCCTTGGGATATCTCACTTCCCGTCGCATTTAGGGAGCTCTGCCTATCCCAGCTCTGATCAAATAACATCCCCGAGGCAAACCCAGGATTTGCCTGCTCGGAAAGGTGGATTTCATGAATGATTTATGCTGTGTTTGAACGGCCTTTTAAAGCAATGTGATGGTGGAATATGGGGAAGAGCCAACCCAGAGGAATAAACCACTTTGGCAGACAGAAGCAGAGATTTAACAACACAACGCTGTAGGGGAGCCTGGCCCTGAAGCCCTAAAACTGCACAAAACCCCTCCACGTCCTCCCTTATTGCAAAGTCCTGCATGAATGGGAATGAGCCGAGGCCCAGGCAAGCAGAGATTGCAGCTCTCCTCCCTTTGAGCAGCCTCAGATGAGCCTCAATCCATCACAACCCCCCCTCGCAGGGTTCCATAACCGCATTAAAGTGGCAGCAGTTGGCACTTCTGGCACAAGCAGCCTCCTCCGCTCCCAGCTGCTTGTTCCCTCCCTGGCGCTGGCACAAAGAGCTGGGGCTTTGCAGAAAGGGGCTGCTCGGAATTCAAATGGATTCGGCACACACACGGAGGGAAAGCTCGTTTTTAACCCAGGGAAGCCGCGTATCCACGGAGCCCAGGCTCAGGAAGGAGGGAGCTAAAAGCAGTTGGGCCCTGTTTGGCCAATCTACAGCAAAAGCTGTCAGCTGGGAAAAGCGATATATAGGGCAAGGTAGAGCTGGAGATGAACACTGGGGAACCTCCTCAATGCTCACTGGGTGCTTCCCATAAGGAGAGCTTTGATGGGGTGTGAGCATCCAGAGGAGCAAGGGCTCTCATGAGACCCCACTTGCAGCACCAGGTGCAGTTCTGGTGTCCTCAGCATAAGAAGGACATGGAGCTGTTGGAGCAAGTCCAGAGGAAGCCACGAGGATGAGCAGGGGCTGGAGCAGCTCCTGTATGGAGCCAGGCTGGGAACACTGGGGCTGTTCAGCCTGGAGAAGAGAAGCTGCGTGGAGACCTCAGAGCAGCTTCCAGTGTCTGAAGGGGGCTACAAGGATGCTGGGGAGGGACTCTTCATCAGGGACTGCAGTGATAGGACAAGGGGTGATGGGTTCAGACTGAAACAGGGGAAGTTCAGGTTGGAGATAAGGAAGTTGTTGTACCCTGTGAGGGTGCTGAGGCGCTGGTACAGGGTGCCCAGAGAAGTGGTAAATGCTCCATCCCTGGCAGTGTTCAAGGCCAGGTTGGACAGAGCCTTGTGTGATGTGATCTAGTGTGAGGCATCCCTGCCCGTGGCAGGGGGTTGGAACTGGATGATCTTAAGGTCCTTTTTAACCCCAACCATTCCATGATTCAATGATTTGAAGAATTAAATGAGTCTTATCCAGAAAACAGAGAAGATCATCCTTGGAACAAAAAGTATCACAGCTCTCCCCTGAGATGCAGAGGGCAAGGAGAGACAAGGATGCTGCACCACTAAAAGAAACACTTGATTTTCCTCCCAGCCCTACACGGGGCAGCACTGCAGCTGCTTCTCCACGCAATGTCTGTTCCAAGCAGCACATCTGAAGGCTATAGGAACTGATATCTCTTGTTGAAGGCTATAGGAATTCACATCACTTGCTGAAGGCTATAGGAATTCACATCACTTGTTGAAGGCTATAGGAATTCACATCGCTTGCTGACGGCTATGGGAATTCACATCACTTGTTTGTTCAGAGCACCCACAGTCGTTTGTAAGCCTAATTGAATTAAGCAAACAGCAAAAACCAAGTGCAGGGGTTTGATGCTGCCCCAGGGAGGGAAACACATCGGAGAAACCAAATTGTCTCTTCATCCCAGAATAACCATGGTGCTAATCCCTCTAATGGCCTTAAGCATCACCCAAACTGCAGATCCAGGGAAAAGCGTGAAGCAGGACCTGATTAAGCTGCTCCCACGTTTGAAATCATGGTCTCATCAGCTTTTGGTTTAATCCAGAGTCCCTCAGTAGCACTCTGTAAACTTGCTGACACAAGCTAAAACACGGGACTTGTTAGTGCTGCACCAGCACATTGCAGAGACCTAATGGCAGGGAGAGTAGGAGGCACTGGGGCTTCTGCTACCTCCTCCCACAAGAGGGTTTATGAAGGCTCAGGGATCTCCTAGGATCCCTGGATCATAGAATCAGTGAGGTTGGAAAAGCCCTTTAAGCTCACCCAGTCCAACCATTCCCAGCACTGCCAAGGCCACCACTAACCCATGGCACTGAGGCCTCGTCTCCACGCTGTGTGAACACTTGCAGGGCCGGTGACTGCAGCCCTGCCCTGGGCAGCCTGTTCCAATGCCTGAGCACCCTCTGGGGCAGGAATTGTTCCTCAGCTCCATCTAAACCTGCCCTGGTGCAGCTTGAGGCCGGTTCCTCTTGTCCCATCCCTTGTTCCTTGGGAGCAGAGCCCAGCCCCTCCTGGCTCCATCCTCCTGCAGCCCCACAACCCTGGTGTGCAGTGGAGACCTGACAAGGATGCCAACAGACCACCTTGCCGCTCATCAAGCAGTTGGGCAGCATTTCCTCCCATCCTCAACATCCAGGAACCTATTTTGTCTCCTGCTTCTGGTTTTAACCCATTTGGAGCATCATCCATCTCAGCCCATCCTGACATCATCTTGCGCTCTGTGTGCTGCTGCCATTCAGAGCTTGAGCACAGCCTCCATCTGAAGAAAGTTACTTCTTCTCCACAAAGTTTTTGCTATTTCAACTTAGGAGGGGAAAAAATGTCCTTCCCAAGGGCAACCAAAGTGTAGAATCACAGTTTTTGCTGATAATAGCAAGGCTGAGGAGCGCGGGCTCGAGGGAAAGGAGATGTCTCCTGGGTTAGCTGGAAAACAGAGAAGAAAATGTCAGTAGCAGAAAAAGAAGCTGCTGCAGGATCCTGGAGGAGAAGCCACTGTCATTTATCAAGTGGGCACTGGTTTTCTGCTGTGATGTCTATTTTTTGTCCCTCTTTCTTGCCTCCAGTCTCGCTGCTGGTGCCGGAGCTGCACACAGATATAAATACATGTATATGGGGATGGGGAGAAATCAGAGCAACGATCGATGTGCTTCCGCATCACTGTCATTCCCAGCTGCGGTGATTATTTTCCAAGGTGTTTAAAGTGGGGACAAAGAGCAAAGCCTCTTTTTTGTCCTCCATGTTCACCCACTGAAGTTGAAATGGTTTGAATTGCATGAAGAGAGCAAGGACCAGCCATGAACCATAGAACTGTAGAATCACAGAATGGTTTGGGATCATCCAGCTCCA